GACATGTTCGTACGAACCCTTTGTACGAACAAAAGTAAGAGAAATTTAGGATAAAAATACGAACATGTTCTTGCATGAGGCCCAATGTTACAAAGAACTGATCTACCAAAACAAAATTACTTTTTATTTGTTCTTAGTTTTCATGTATAAATTATATATATATATATTTTTAATGTTCAGTTATTTGTAGACATCTGTAGACCATTTTTAAATACAGACTGTGAGTAAAACATAAGTGCACAGTGTGGATAGTTGAGAAGAAAACTAAAGAAACTTGACTTAATATTCAGATCCGTCATCCTGAACATAATTGGCAATCCCATTATGAGTCAGTGATGCACTACATAGCCTGTCCACCGAGCTCATACTCTAAATGCGATGGTGGGAGTTGGGCTCTTTCAACAAAATTATATTTGAAATCCTTTCATTTCCTCGAAATTGGCTCTCGTGGTGTAAAAGGAGCGATAAAGACGCGATTCATTTTAATGTAAATCTGATCGAGCGCGAGGAAACAGTACAAAATAAGTGATGGGAGTTGATAAAATGGGAAGAGAAGCTTCAGCCCTTGAGGCATGTAGGTGTAGACTTTTTTTTTCTCCCTCCCTTGTTCTCTCTGCTGTGTAGCGCAGGCTGCACTACTTACTGTAGCCTCAGGTGACAACAGTCAGTTCAGTCATGATGGGGTCAATGCACAGCGACCAGAAAAATATCAAGAGGAAATCACTTTTTTTCTTCCTCCACCCGTGCTAACAACCTCGGACAGGAGGGAAACCGTGCAAAAATCGGTGATTAATTTAACGCATTCTGATGTTTTGCCCTTTAGTTTGTGTGCACGACACTTCTGCATGTTGATCAACAGAGGCTGGAAAACAGCGGAGCGGCTTCACCTTCTGCCTCTGCTTCAGAGGGCCATTGTCCATGTGTCTCTATTATCCTGCTGGTCATGGTTCTCCGGCTCTGCCCCCCGCTCATATGGGAGATATCTGTAGAATAATTCTACCTGTCTGTTCCTATCTCCTTCTCCCTTTTTATCCTCTC